GTTTGCATCTTTTGTTTCTGGGCTGAGGCTTTGCCAAGTCGTAAAAGCAGCTGGAAACATCTCTGTATTCACGTGTCCTCGTCTGTTCATCTTTTTTTTTCTTCAAATTAGGTGTTTCACAGGCATTCCTCTATGTAGACCAGACATGTCATACTCCTCACCTCTCCTCCAGAAGGTCTTTCCGGATGAAAAAGGGTTCCAGCTGACCCAGAGCTTTAGGAATGTCAACGCGCATGAATTGTTACTGTCACACGGATGTTTGCTTCCCCCCTGTACTGCATGTCACGAGGCATCAAGGGAAGAAGAGAGTGTCCAGCAAAGTAAGCACAATAATCTCTAATTCTGTCCAAAGCACAGACTGAGGGACTACGGAGAGAAGAAAAAAGGACGTTGTCTCTGGTGCTGTTAAATCCTGCAGGAGCAAACTCACCCACCAGCATCACCGGGTGGAGGGAGCTTGTTAAAAGACGGCCCAACTGTGTTTAAAATACAGTTGACAGTCCCTCCGAAGCACTCGGCATCCATTTGAGAGCTCTGGGGTCGCGACCTTCCGCTGCCTCTTTGTTGTGGTTCAGTTGAAGTGCATAGCAGGTTGCCTTTGTTATTGGAACAAAGTTGAATGTATTAAATGACCGCCTTTGATGCCCTTTTTTTTCCGCTTTGTGGTCGCTGTTACGGCGCACAAAGAGCGGTGACTTCATATTATAAATGTCTTCCCCCCTCTATTTCCCTCCAGAAAATGAGAGAATGAATTGCAGCCTTTATGGCGTTTGGTTAAGTATTATTGTTATTATTTTGGTTTAAGATGAGGTATTGCCGCATTGAGGTTTTCCTCCATCAGCACAAAAGCTCAGAGGCCTGCTTTTCGGCTTTATGGCCCCGGTAAACAATAGCGGGTAGCACAGCAGGGGCCCAACCTGTAAACTCTGATGTAGTCAAGATACAGAAGTTAATTTCCACGCTGGCCTCTCCTGCAGGCTAGTAGCTCAACTGAATGGTCCTGTCAGGGACATTTAGTAATATGACTTCCAGGTTTTTCAACAGGACTTCTACTGTAGCTACAAGAGAACATGGGGGGGGAGGAACTGTGATATACATTATGCAATTTTTCAACGTGAAATGATTGAAAAGCGGGGACATGATATAGTTAAGTTAAGAATTGTGCCTGTAATGTGTAACCCACATACAATTCTCTAAATGTCACTGACCTGTTTCACTCAACACTAAAGTTCTCTTTATACCGCGCTGGCTTGACCTTCTGCCACAATTAGCACTGTTGTCACTTCCTAGTGATGTCAGTCCACCAACCTTTCCACTCGGCAGCACTTTGATTATGTCACCATCCAGTATCCATGCACTGTTGTCATAAGCCTGTCATGTGTTTTTAGTGGCATATTGTACTTTTTTCATGCTGTCCATTCATATATCTTTTAAGACATCCTACAAATACAGTGAACGTGTATTCATTTATTTTTCTCTGTTTTTTTTGGCTCCCTATTCGGGTGCTTTTTATGAAGCTTTTGTTTTATAACCTAGACTTCAGTGACGATGTGTGGCTGTTAAATGGACCCTCCTGAAAGGAATAACGGTCACCTTTGTTACCGTGACTTTATTTATTACATTATTTCCTGTCAACTGCCATGAACTTCTATATCTTAAAACATCCACAATTGTATGTTCCCTCATCTCTGAACCCCAAATTGCAGCCCACTCTTCATTCATCTGGAAACGATCAGCCGCGTATGTGGTATTCTCGTGTAAAAAGGGATGTTGTCATGTTTCAACCAGCCGGCCAACACCGTAATCGGGTGGCATTAGGACGATGTGACATTTGCTTCCGCACATTAGCCCCCCTCTGGCCAAGCTGCTCCGAGGTTACGCTGACAGAAATATGGGGTCAGAGGTCGGTATGGATGCATTCCCACATGATCGGCATTTGGGAGACTCACGCTTTCACACGTTGGGGATTATCCTCCTTTTTTTCCAGAATGTTCTGCCTCGAAACTCTTGAGGGGATGACCTCATGATGTGTGTGTGTGTGTGTGTGTGTGTGTGTGTGTGTGTGTGTGTGTGTGTGTGTGTGTGTGTGTGTGTGTGTGTGTGCGTGCGTGCGTGCGTGCGTGCGTGCGTGCGTGCGTGCGTGCGTGCGTGCGTGCGTGCGTGCGTGCGTGCGTGCGTGCGCTCGCTCGCTCGCTCGCTCGCTCGCTCGCTCGCATAATCACGAAGGTCAGAGAGAGATTGC